TGTTGTGAGACAGTATGGGAATTTGTCTTTTTCGAGAGTTTTTGATGCTGGGCATGATGTTGCTGCTTATGCACCACGGATTGCTTTTGAGATTTTTACGAGGTCGATTTTGGGTTTGGATGTTGCTACTGGGGGGGAAGACGATTTTGGGGGCTGCTAATGGGTATTCTAGTGAGGGGCCCCGGAGCAGTTTTGGGTGGAAAGGTGAGCTGCCGGTTGCTCCTCCGCCTGTTGATTGCTATTTGTTTCGTGCGTGGGAGTCTTGTACTGAGGAACAGATTGGTGCTTTGGAGAGTGGGACTGCGGAGGTTGTTGATTTTAGGGTGGCGGCTTGAATGGGTGGGATACTGGTGCGTGGTTTGCCTCTTGAAGGTGATACTGCGTGTAGGATGTGTTCTATTCAAACCACGCTGTCAAACGATCATAATCTGTCTCTCACTTCATCACTACCGGCATGTATTTTCGTTACGAGGATGTTGCGTTAGATTCCACTCAATCTGCTGCTGAAGCAAAGCATTCCAAGCGAATGGGAAAGTCTACTCGCCCGCTTGAGTTCTCGAACTTGGGAGCAGACAATTGCAGGAGTTGCTAGCACCTTTAAGCGTTGAGAGATGATGGGAAACGTCTTGCTCCTCGGGCTGGAGAATTCAATTGCAGAACTCCTATAAAACTCCGTGGGTAAACAGCAGGGGGCTGTGAACGACCAATCTCCCAATACCCTCGTCGTTATTAGTCGAGGATTCTAGATGGAGTTTGAAGTGAAAATAGTCAGATTCAGAGGGCATCAGGCCCAGATTTGTGGCTGATTTAGGTCGGTTTAGGACAGGAATATCGCACATTCAATCCATATGTGCGTTTCCACGAGTTTGAAGCGTGGGGGGGCCATTCAAGGCGAAAGGGACTATTTGCTGCTGGTAGAGACGCTTTTGGGAGCTGGGTACTTTTAACTGCTTTGATCATAAGAGCGATTTCAGGACCTCTTGAACATCGACGAGTCAAATCAGAGCTCACAAATAGAGATAGATGTTGCGGTGATTTCTGAGGGACCGAGATTGTTGTGAATAGCTTTCGCGCGGAARGTGTTGTGTGGTGATCGAGGTGACATTCCAGTTGAAGTTATTCTAGAGAGAGGGTTGACGCTACCTGGGGTGTCTTGATGTGGTTGGACTTGGAGCGCGCACTGTTGTGATGCCGCTTGACTGAAGGATGAGGCAGAAGGACACTCCGACCGAAGTTCATACTTGCTMTTCGAGATGAAACAGGCATGGTGATCAAAACGAGCCCATTGTATTATCGCTCTGATGTTGGTGATCAAAATGTAGTGTTGAGATTTGCGGGGAGTCAAGGGATCGCAGGCAAACAGTCAAAGGGGATTATTGTCTTGGCACCTTTCACAAGCCACCGCTATTTGAGGGTTTCACACGATTATCGAAATGTAATATATCATGCATATCCCCAAGCAAAGAATATTTGGCACTTGCACACCCAAATCCTACTCCGGTTTGTGCAGAGCGCTCACGAAGATGGAAGAATCGAGGCAGGGCAGTGTAATCTCCCAGCACAGCAGAGCGCGAAGTCTGTATGGTACGCATCTATGACCACGGCCTGTCGTGCACTCTCCTACCAACGATACTCAACTAGAGATGACGATACATGTACACATCTATACACATCCTATGAATATCCATCCATCAGACATTAGATGATGCCTCAAATACCAAACCTCATACCATCATCATAACTCARAACCCTACAAATCATCCCCTACAGCTCTCCCCATACCTCAACCCATCCCCAAACCTCGCAACCGGATCCTTCGTATCAAAAGGAACATCCTCCTTACTATCCTCAACCGCCTCATCACTCCTCGGCAAATCAAAAGGCAGTTTCCCCTTGGGCTCCGCAACCCCAAAAACAACATCCAGAAGCGCATCCGGCCCACTCCCAAAACTCCCCAAAAGCGCAACAGCCTGCTCCATAATTTCCGGAATCGCCGCCGGTCGTCCAAGATACATGTCCACAATAGTAGGCACAGCAGCAAAAACCTTCGCCTGTCGCGCTTTTTCCGTGGAATTATATTCCAATGATCCAGCCGTGAATCGCGCTTCGAAACCTCCCGGACGAGGTTCAAAAGGCGCACGTAATCTCATCAGAGCGATATCCGCTTCCTCGGGCGTCTCGACGACGGAAATGCTACGGTTGGTCAGGTAACTCTTATCGAAACCCTCGACGTAGACCTTTCCGAGGGAATTTTCGCTGAGGGGAAGGATATCCTGCTCGTTTTTCAATAGCGTGTAACTCGCCCGCTGTGCTTCCTGGCCCAAACGCACAAAATATGGGTTTCCGACCACTCGTGCCGCTTTCTCGACATCCACAAAAGGATTATCAAAGAGTCCCAACACGAATTTCTCCCGTAAAAGTCTCCGCACCGACTCATCGATTCTGGCTTCAGAAAGTCGTCCTTCTTCCACAAGTTGCACAATTAATTCCGGCCTTTGCTCGCCTCCAAATTGATCCACTCCGGCTCCGATAACACGCGCCGCGCGATCCAATTCACTGAGAGATTCCACGCCCCAGGCAGCAGCAGGCATTTTCTGCCCGAAAACTTCGTAATCCGTAATGAGGCCCCAATCCGAACATACAATCCCCTCGAAACCCAATTCATGGCGTAGGAGATCCGTAATGATACCTTTGTTGAAACTGAATCCCACTTCCTCGTAGTCCGTCCCAATGGGTCGGGAATAATAGGGCATCATCTGTCGTGCTCCAGCGGCGATGGCGGCTTTGAAAGGGATGAGATGGTGATCGAACATTTTTCCGGGATAGGTGGCGTTTTTTCCATAGGTGAAGTGACTGTCCTCGCCATTCTCTAGGGGTCCGCCGCCGGGGAAATGTTTCGTGATGGTGGTGACGGAGTGTGGACCGAGTTCCTCGCCTTGGAAACCTTTGAGGTAGGCGACGACGAGTTCTGAGGTGAGATTTGCGTCTTCGCCCATGGTGTTGGAAATTCGAGCCCAGCGGTATTCGGTCGAGAGGTCGATTTGAGGGTGGAGGGCGGATCGGAGACCAATGGCCATGTATCTATACTGCATCAGCACAAACARCACCCACATGAAAGAGAGAAACCGGGGGGACAGGGAAAGACATACTCCTCCCTAGCAACCTCCGCGAATTTCTGCACCATCTCCTTATCCCTCAACGCCGCAAGTCCCAAACTCTCCGGCCACTGGGAAAAGCTATTGGCCGCAAACCCCACTCCTCTCTGCTCCGTAAAAGCATGTCTCGGATCCGTAGACATGGTAACAGGAATCCCCCACCGCGTCCCACTACGCGCCAATTCCTGTAAACGATTATGCCAGAGAGCCGTCTCGGTGACATTGACCACATCGCTCAAGAGATTGAAATGCGACATGTATTTCTCCGTCACCATATTCGTGGTGCTGTTCCCCAGGGTTGTGTCTTCATTGAGGGTGCCGTTGGGGCCCATGGAGAGGATGGTGTGGAAGAGTTGGCCTGCTTTTTCTGCTACGCTCATGCGGGAGATGAGGTCGTCGAGACGTGCGTCGACGCAGAGGGAGGAATTTTGATAGGGGTATGTTGTGTTTGTTGGGGATCGTGCTAGAGGGTGGCATGATACCATACTACTTGAAGCAAGGATTCCAAATAGTAGTAATGCCTTGCGGCTGCTTAAGATCCCTTCGAACCCCATCGTGCTTGGAAAAGGGGGAGATTCCTGAAGGGGGAAGGAAGAGAAAAAAGAAATTCTGCTGGATGTATGGATGTTTGTACCGGATTCCTCCTTCCTTTTATCATCCCAATCCCATCCCAACAACCGGAACCGCAACGCAATGCCAACCTACCAAGTCCCTAATATCCACTCCATCATACCACAACAGGACAGTCTCCCGACCCACAAAAGCACACTAACCCTCTCCCACAACTCCACCAAACGGGCCTCCCCATCGGCAAGTCCCATCGGCTTTTTGTGTGTGGGGGATGGCATTGGCATGGGGCCAGGGGAAAGAAAAACCGTACGCAGAAGCCGTCTTTCGTGCCCGAATAGTTTGCACTGTAGTTCCAAAAACTAGCTTGGCTCGTGGGTCTAAGGGAAAGGTGGGGTCGCTAAGGTGAGGAGGGGAATAGTGGAGGGGGCTTTAGTATACGGTACGTACGTACGTAGACGAGCGAGCGAACATGCGGAGAAGGACTGGCTCCACCTCTTCTCCTCTCTTCAGACGATTCTCCATATGTGGCGTGGGTAAGTGTCTAGCCGTCGGATGTTCGGTACATTTCATCATCTCATCTCGTCCATCTCATCCATCTCTTCATCCCCGCGTGACCTGGTTACGCCGGTATTTCAAGTTGCTTCCCTGGATATTTAGGTAGTGTAGCCGGTAAGGCGGTAAGGCGGTAGTACATACATAGAAATTCTAGATAAACTAGTGGAATCAAATCGCCTCGTGTCGCGTGTCGAGCAGGGATCCCCAGATTTCGCCCGCAAAGACATACATCATCAATCAGAACTAGGAAATCCATCGCCTCGTGTCGAGCAGGGATCCCTAGATTTTCCGATCGCAAAGACATCATCAATCAGAATTAGGAAATCCATCGCCTCGTGTCGAGCAGGGATCCCTAGATTTTCCGATCGCAAAGACATCATCAATCAGAACTAGGAAATCCATCGCCTCGTGTCGAGCAGGGATCCCTAGATTTTCCGATCGCAAGAACTCTGGGCAGGGATCCCCAGATTTCGCCCGCAAAGACATCATCAATCAGAACTAGGAAATCCATCGCCTCGTGTCGAGCAGGAATCCCTAGATTTTCCGATCGCAAGAACTCTGGGCAGGCGGGCAAAATGAAGACGAAGAAGAAGAAGAAGAAGAAGAGAGAGACGAAAAAAAAAAAAAAAAAAGAAGAAAGGCCAGCAACAAATATCAACTTTCCAACTCTTCTTCTCTATGAAAATCCCCTTCTCTGATTTCGAGCTCGCCGCTCCGATTCCCCTGATATTTCATCTATCCCTACCTTACTTACCTCTCCTTACCAAAAGCAGCCATACTATATACTACATTAGCCAACATCCCCAGGAAAGAACACAAAACTTGGCATCGGCAAATTCCGCATCATCGCAGACGCCGCTATATCTCTTCTTCTCTACTAATAATTAAACTAGTTAGTTCGCTAGGCCGGGAAGATCGATTCAAGAGCAATAATCTAGACCTTTCTTTTTCTAGCGGAGGAAATGAATATCATGGTCTGCTTGGATTCGGTGCCTTGTACTCATTCGCGGAATCTTCGCGATGAGAAAAGAAGAGTCTCGCCCTTTCAATACTATAGACAGGAAACTTGAGCAATAACACCAAAAACACCTCGCTTTTCAAATCCAAGCCAAAAAACCCAGGCCAATTCAAACCAAACCTCACATCCATCCCTCATTCCCAATCTCTCCATCCCTCCGTCACTCTCCCTCATCACTCATCACTATCACTCCCCCCAACAATCCTCCTCCCCCTCATCCTCCCTCCCTTCCTACTCACAACATTCTCCTCCTCCTCCTCCTCCTCCTCCTCCTCCTCCTCCTCCTGCTCATTACTCCCCAACCTCGTAGCAGCTAACTTCCTTCGAGACGAAGAAGACCGCCTACTGTCCTCATCCTCCTCCTCCTCCTCATCATCTTCAGAAGAAGCACTATGATCGTCCTCGATAACAATCGGAACAACAGTGTCTTGCACATTGCCCATTTCCACATCCCCGTCCACATCCCCGTCATCCTCATCCTCATCGCTGTCTAGTAGAGCAGCGAGATCRCTTCTCCTCTTCTTCGTCTTCTCCTTCTTCTTCTCCTTCTTCTTCGCTGGTTGCTTCCTAGGTTTCGGAACCGGGGCCACGACTTCTGAATCACCATCATCATCCTCATCATCATCATNCTTCTTCTTCTCCTTCTTCTTCGCTGGTTGCTTCCTAGGTTTCGGAACCGGGGCCACGACTTCTGAATCACCATCATCATCCTCATCATCATCATCACTGATAAAAGCCTTTGTCTTGCCCCTCGAACTCGCAGCAGCAGCAGCAACAGCAGCATCAGAATCGCTGTCATCACTGACAAAAGCGGCAGTAGTAGCCATCTTCCAATTCGACTTCCCCCCGCCCTCCTCCCGCACTTCCTCACCACTCTCTTCACTCGTCAGAATCTTCTTCTTCTTCGTCGTCTTCCCCATCCCCGCACTCTTCGTCTTCTTCTTCTTCT